TGTATCCATATTCATGTGTCTTCTCATCTGCAACCGTTAAACAAAGAAATGATAATCTAGGGAATGACACGGTTTGAAATGGGAAAACATTACGCCCAAGGTAAAGAGAGGATTTCTGAATTGTTTTGACCATATATAAACTCATTTGTGATGGATTTTTTCCCCAGTTGATTATCTCAGCTCAGAGGTGCCTATCAAAGTTCACCTTGAGGCTTTCAGTCCTACTATTCCCTTGGACTCGAAAAACAGTGCCATTCCTGTCATCGTATTCAACTTCACTGTTACCAACGAAGGGTCACAAGATGCTAAGGTTTGCTAAATATTATGGCGCATTATTATAATTCATAATTATTTAGTTATTCTTATTATCATCATCATCATTATCATCTTCACCATCATCATCATTATCTTCATCATCATTCTTGTCTCCTCTCCTTTCCTCTCCTCTCCTCTAGTTTCCTCTAGTTTTCTCATTTCTCCTCTTGTGTCCTTTCCTCCCTTCTCCTCTCCTCTTCCCTTCTCTCCCCTCCTCACTTTAGTGTGTGGTATTCGTCTTCATGTCCAATCCTCTGACTTACCATTCTTCTACATTTTTTTTCAAAATACATACAGTCAACAACAGCAACAACAACAGTCTTTCTGAAGGCTACGCCGCATAAATAGCTGATGACTCTCAATATATAACTTACTCAAAGTTCATGAAGTCTTTTTTTTTCGCTTTTAGGTATCTCTTTTGGGTTCTTTACAAAATATTGCTGGGTGGGATGGAGTGTCGGACATCACTGATGAAGGTAATATGTCATGTCATGCTTTATAACTGCATATAGTCCCCCCCCACCCCCCCTATTCCCATTCCATATTTTCTATTTCATCTTAAGTTAATCACTTTACTTTACCTTGTAATCGTTTTTATTTGTTTTAGTGTCCAATGCTGGTTATGGGGGGAACGTGAACACTTTGTTTCAAACCAGGTAAAGTTGATGGTGTTGCTACACTTGTTTCTCCACTCCCCATCCCCCCTCCCCCCTCCTCCTACCTGCTCATCCTTCCACTCTCCTCCTTTCCTCTCCCTTGGGAATCAAGGATGTTGTAGTGCACTTGCCTGTCACGTCTGGGGTCTCAGGTTTCATTCCTGTATTTCAAATCCGGTATCCTAAGAAAACTTGCGTTCTGATTGGCTGTTGGAGCGGATCGTATTTTCTAGTTCTTAGCGCCGCACGGTATCTTGGAATACTAGATTCACGCTGTGCTAAAACTGTGCCCTCAGTCTTTAAAACCGACCTCGCCCTGATGACCTCGGCCAGATGACCTCAGTATATAGGCAAGACCTTGGACACAGTTTTTTTTAAAAATCTGGATATGAAATAAATGTAATTATTATGTTCATAATAGTTAATACTATAACAACTATGCTTTAAACTTGTAGTTCAATGTATGGCATTGACATGTGCAACCCTACATTACCAGAGAAGACAAGTCCTAATGGTCACGTGGCTATAGTCGGTAAGACTTTAAGAATTCTTTTTTCGCTTCCAAAGAACATCCTAGTGTCGCGCGAAAAATCAGTCATTGTGGATTCCGTTGTCAGGGGATTCGGGTCAAGATGGCGTCAGTTGTGTCATAGTTAAAGGGCCACTTGGACGAAAATCGTTCCAAAATTAAAACTCTTTCATTCGAGCTGTAACTTTGCTGAAGTAATCTTGAACACATTAAGAACCTCTCACTGAAATATTTTTCTAATATTCGAAAGGGAAGGGCCAAAATTTTACGATTTATTTTCGTCCGCCATTAATTTCTTTGTGTCACGGCCAACGAGTCATTATGTACAGCAGTTTTACGCTGTGACGTCATTTA